AGTCTTTCAGACGTTATAGAAAGTACGGACTTTCTATAACGGTTGTGACCCGTTATAAGTTGATTGTCATTTATAACGGGTTAACATAGACCCGTTATAAGTATTTAATTTTTCTGTTATAGATTACACTATTTTATAACAGTTCCTCATTCACCCGGTATAAAATATATTATATCTATAACGGACTTTCATTCACCCGTTATAAACATGCTTTTGTTTACACTATAATTTATTACGGGTTATTAAATACCCATTATAAAAACAATGTATTTGATAATGGTTAAATAATGACCCTTTATAATTTTGAAACGACATTAAAACACACAATTTTTTAAATCGTAGATAACACCTGTTACAAAAAAAGGTGCAACATTCTATTATTTTTTTTTAAAAAAAAAAACTACCATAGCAACAAACAAATAGCAAAAGAAAATATCTACCATTACTTCAATGCCAACACACCAATAGTACAATTTAACTTCACAATCACAACAATACCAAGTGACATACAGTTTCACACCACATGTTCAACAAACTACGAAGGGTTGGTCGTGCGGTCGCGGCTTCTGCACTCGGTCGCGGGTCGCGTGCGTGATGGTCGTGCGCGTCGCAGGTCATGCGTCCAGGGTTGGTCGTGCGGTCATGCGATTTTCGTTGATGGAATTCGTGTGAACGCTCACTGTCATCAGACCTCGACTGTGTCTCGCGTCTCCGGTCGCTCGTCGCTCTCGTGGAACCGTCTCGCACCTCTGGTGGCTTAGTCGAACCGCTCGAAACTCGCCATGGACTCGCTGGGACTGCTGGACCGTTGCTGAACTGGACTCAAGTAGAACCGGGTGTTGGAATTGCCTTCCATTGTCGGTTATAACCGAGTTTGACACCCAAACCTGCATATTATTAACTTCCACAAGAAATCGATCATTTTATGCTCGATTATCGTAGATAAGGGTTCGACTTCTACCAACTTTGTGAAATAGTCGACGGCCACGATTGCATATTTGACCTCTCCCTCTTTGGGGGGTAGAGTCGCAGAGGGTCGATTAAGTCTAAAAACTAACATAAGAAAGATGAATCCAAGTTTCCGACCTCCCCACACAAAAACTAAAAACTCTCATACTTAACGTTTTGGAGTATTCGTTTGAGATTTTAAATTTGGGACTAAGATATGTTAAGACTTTTTAAAATATGCTGAGATTTTTAAAGGAAAAACCTTATACGAAATCTCACTCATATTCCCACCTTTAGACTTAAGATTTCACATGATTCATTCAAAATCTGAAAATTTTAAAAAGTTTCATATCTCAAAAAGTTAAAAAATGTCATTCGAAATCCAAACGAATACACCCTCTTAAGTCTGTAGATAGGATAATTTCGTAAATCTTAAAAAGTCTTAACAACTTCCAGTCTCAAATAAATCAAACACCTCATAATTTTGTAAGACTTTTTAAAATCTCAAATGAGTACCTCGAGACTTTAAAGTGTCTTAAAAATTTTTAAATTAAATACAACGAGATTATTGAAATCTTAGAAACTCTTTAAAAATCTCAAACGAATACACCCCATAAGTTAAGTATCTCAAAATTTTGCAAGACTTTTGAAATTTTAAATGAATAACTCGAGACTTCTAAAAGTATTAAAATGTTTAAATTAAATACGACATGATTTTTCGAAATATTAAAAAGCCTTTAGAATCATAGATGAACATCGTGCATCGAGTGCGTACAAGTAATACTAGTACAAGAAACAACAAAATTATAGGTCTTTAAC